GAGAAGGCACGTTTTGGATTATTGAGGGGCAATTCGCCCGGGGTCGGTATGCAATAAAGTTTCCCCCCCCCCCCCCCCCCTCCCCAATTGTTCTTGATCCTAAGTTATAGATTCATCCATATACCAGCATCGTCTTCTTAAGAACTCCTCAAGCAGCCTCCCAAAAAATTGCATATACCACCTTTCGGCCTTGTCCAGTTTATTTCATTCACGGGTGGAATTCTGGGTCATATTTAATGGAGTCCCTGGCCCCATTTACCCCAACAGACGAAGAACGTCAGCACCCCCTTGCGCAGGAGTATCTGAAATCTGCGGGGGACCTAGCGACCGCCAACCTTCAACCAACCAGAGCAATTGGCGCCCGGGCGACTACCGGGCACGGCGCATCAGGTTCTACCTGGGGGAAGAGGGAGGTCAATGCTGTTCGAGCGATTCCTTTGATTGAACTTGACCCAAGGCGGATTGTGCCGGCTAGATTCTTCCCAGACGATAATAACGATGGTGAGTGCAGTGGATCGTTACAGGGTGGTGTTCTGGGCTGACCAGCATCGCTCTGCTTCTGTTGCAGCCTTTGTATCGCTTCGTAGGTCCCTTCGAGCGGCGAGCATTGATGACCTCAAAGAGTTCCGCAGCGAGCGCTTCCACCTCAACTTCTACAAGCCTATGTTTCTTAGACTTTCAGACCTGATGACTACACAAACATCAGAGGAATCATTCAACCGCACACACCGAAGAAAATTTAGTGACTCTTCCGCTGAGAGTGACATCTCAACCTCAAGCAATGAGGGCAAGCATGAGTCAGTCAGCACTGCCTGCCTACTGGCCTTCATTGAGGGTACTTTGGATGGCATGGCACCTTACAAGTACTTTGTTACGAAGGGGGAAACAGGTCCCCATTTCAAATCGTAAGTTCGTCCAAGCCTCTCGAAACAGATAGATCCTAACCCACTAGCCAGATTTGCCGACATGACTCGGTTCAAGTGGATGATGGCTGAAGTCAAGCATGTTGCAGAGAACGACGGCTGCATCGGCGTCAACTCTGCAGGTGGTTTCTCTGGCTCCGATAAAAACACAAACGCACCTGTAGTTAATATCGAGGTAAGTAACTGCCTTCGATCCTCTGAGTTGTTTTAGATGCCTAATATTAAGCAATATAGTGCAAACAACGGAATGCAGGTGGGATAGTGCGCGGCTCCGGAGAGCCTGAAACTTTTAGCCCTGAGGTCTTTGGCCAAGAAGTTGCTGAAATGATCGGAAGTAGAATTGCTCAAGAGGTCTTGCTTGTCAAGTACAGAGACCAGGAAACATTTCTCTTGGGCATGCATGGGACATTGTTTTATGCTAGTGCATCCTATTTCTCCCCCGAGTATACCGAATATATCAAAACAGCCCAACACCCCGCGACGGATACCTTTTTGTGGGTCAGAAGATCTGTCCACTTTGACCTGAAAGAGGTTGACCAAAGGGTGAAGGCCCTTGAAGTGCTATGGGCTTTGGTTTGCTATCTAGCGAGCGGAAATGCAAAGGTTAACATTGTAGCAGCAGCGCTGGATGCAGCTAGTGGTTGAGGGATAGGGATACCTTATTTTCATGTCTGGGCCCACTCGTTTTGTCCTTTGCGCTTCTGATTTGACCTCCTTTTCTAAACTCGATAAGCTCGTGTTGGCTCCAACGTTCAGGCGGCCCCGAGCGGAATCTCCATACCGTCCGTAGTATTGCAGTCTCAATGTGTACCCTATTATGAATTACATCGCAGCCAGTGGATTCTGGGCATCTACAGCGTGTCCTGTACCCCAATTGTAAGTAGTATGGTTGGGATCCGTACCGAGTTCCATCCGAGGAAACAACATCGACTTAAGAGGATGTATCTTAGGAAATCTTTGGTATTGATTACGATTAATTTTCTTATTCTAGTTCAATTATAGCCTCTAGTTTAATAAAAAGGGGCTTATTTTAGGTCCGAGGTATTAGGCCACGGCCTCTGCAGCGTACAGTACTTTCCCAAGGCGTCTTGCATCCCACCAACATTCGCATTCCCGCTTAGTAGATACCGAAACAGACGCGACAAAACCCGGACCGCTTCCACCCAGTCCTGCTTCAAACAGAGATCGTACCCACGTGTGAATTTGAGCTCAAAAACATCGGACTCTGAGCACCCCTTCTTCTGGACCCTGGATATGACATCGCTGCGAAAAAATCCACGAGCCACATGAAAAAATTCACCATGAAAGCCTGCCACAAAAACCTCTTGGTCACAAAGGCTGTTGCAAACCTTCAGGTTTGACGCAAGTTGACCAAGCATTACACTCACTGTCTCAGCGAGAAATTCTTTCCAAGTCTGTCCTTCCCACCACTACATCGTCATGTCAGTCCGAGGAAGCAAGGCAAAGGTATGGGATGTTCATACTGCCGGATATGTAATAATAGGTACCCCCAAGTTTGGCGGGCCAACGGTGACGGCACCTTGATACCTGGATGCGAACTTCTTGCCGCCAATCACATATTTGAGCGTGGGTTTCCCGGAAGGACAACTGCGAGAAAAACGTCAGTATGTACAGAACGGTTTGGATGTGTAATTAATAACTTACTAGATCCGCAGACCGTCAGGTACAGCCAACCCGAGCCAATCATAAACATCCTGCAGCAGCTTCTGCAGCATCCAGCCTTCACATTGGATGAATTCACTTAACCAGTCCTGATTATCAACCACCTCCCAGTTTTTACGAGGCAGAGTAATCGTCTCGACCCGTCGTAGAGCCCTTGTGGTACCCGTCTCGCAGAGGTCCGGCTCGTGGAGATGGTCTGCTCGCCACCGTTCCAGACTGTTGCGGTAGCTCGGCAGGTCACAAAACAGGCTCTTAAATCTAGTTTGGCCTGCAGGCCAAAACGTTTCACAATTGTAGGGTGCAATATCGCTGTCGCGGAATGCCCATGGCATCAGTTTCTCCACATCGCTGTCTGGGGTGGTGTGGTCAGCAAAAAGATAGGAAGCGGTTAGGAAAGCGGGTTTTCTTTGGGGGCGAAATCTGCACAATAAATAATGGATTACCTTCTTGTTCAGCATCGATAGCTCTCGGTATCAGCTCGTCTAGATCCACAATTTGCGAATGAATCGTTGCAGTGGCCATGTCAGTCAGCGGGCAGCTCGCGCAGGAGGGACAACGAGCGCTGTGTTGTTCAGCTTAGACTTCAACTCCGAGGGCGAATCAGTGTAGTTGAGGACAGTCATCGTCCTGTCCCATTCGGGACCTAGATTCGATGATTTATCGGAATGCCATACACTAACTAGCCCAACACAAAGAAATATGTTGGGCGCCGACATGGATCGACTATTACGTAAACATTTAGCGAATGGCGCTTGGGAGTTATTTCCAAGGTTACTATGTATATAGATGGCTGTGCCTCCTCACCCATGCTCACCCGTGCCTCACCCTGCCTCACCTATGCCTCACTCAGCGTGGATGATGGAAGCAGCCTGCCTCTTGCGCTACTCCGGCCTTAAGTATATGAGGTAGCGATGTGATCAAACTTTGTATTGGGCCTACCATCCCATCAGTAAAACCAACAGCACCTCCCAACCCGCAACCAAACAATGACAAGATGGCCGAGTGGTTAAGGCGTACCGTTCAAGTATCACGTGAACACTTGGTCCCTTTCAAGGGTCCAGATCCGGTATGGGGAAACCCGCGTGAGTTCGAGTCTCGCTCTTGTCAACAATCTTTCTTTTTTTTCCCGTCTATTTTTTTTGTTGCTAGTCAATCAATCAGTTAGCGGCCCTTCTTTCTTTTTCTTTTATTAAAACAAGCTGCATGTGCTTGCTTTACTTACTCCTAGCTTGCCCTGTCTTCCCCCTCTCCTCTATCACCCCTACCATCCCTGTAACCCCTATGACTCCTATTATCCCTATCACCCTCTATTATCCCTATTGTCTTTACCACTCTCTACCACCTCTATTACCCCCTATTACCCCTACTGCCCCTACCACCTCTATTATCCTCTATTACTCTTATCACCTTCTATCGCCCCTACTGCCCCTATCACGCTCACTGCCCGTACCACCTCCCACAGGGATGATTTGCTATACAGAGTTATGTATATAAGTACGGCAGGTTAGGTATTTATCATCGCTAACTCCCGCTCCTTAGGAACAAGACCATCCATTCATTCCACTCATTCATTCACTCCCCACTTAAACCACCAAACCAACCCTCTCATACGATATCGCATTTAACTAAAATAGCACATATAACAAAATAAATGTTGAATCATATTATATTTCTCTTTCTCTTTCTCTCTTCCCTCCATTTTTTTTTATCAAGCTGTAATAGAACGGCCTCCCTCCTCCATCAAACACCAAATGTTGACCAGACTGAACTTTCAACTGCGACTAGCCTCCTCGCCCGTCATGAGGCAACTAACAATACTCCGAGTAGATGGGAAGATGAAGGTAAATAGGTAGACGAAGATGGGGAACTTTGGAAGGGGTAACGGGTAAAAGGGTCGTGGAGGTGAGTCGGCGGGGGAGCCGGGGGAGGGGGGTGTGAAAAACTTGGAGGGGTGCGGGGGGGATCAGAAAAGAATAGAAAAGTATAAAAAAAGTAAATCTGAAAATCCGCTCTTGACATGATTTCCCCCCCCTTCCTCCAAAGCTCCTTTCTCCCAATCCCATAAAGTACGATGCCTGCCTGCCTTCTTTAAGAATGAAGAAAAGGGGAACAGAACAAAAGACAAAGTAGGTAATACATGAAACCCACACCCACACACAGACGACGCACGCATACATGTCAGGCGAGGAGCAGAAACCGTCAAAGTCCTCAAACATGTTTGTCCATATCGGCAATAGATAAAAAACCTGGCCTGGATGGCGCAAGATGCAAGGTCGAGATAAGAAAAATGCTGGTAGGAACACAAAAGGGTATTATACGGTAGAATGAATCTTCTGGTAGAAGAGTAAATATGCGACCTTGTTATCTCGGACTCCGAATCGGCTGCTTGGAGTGCGCTTGCCGGACGACTCTCCGGAGGGCGAGGCGGCGCCGTTGACCACAGCGGCCATGGATTTCTTGTTGGGATGGCCGCTGCTGTTGGTGCCATTGACTTGGCTCCAACCATGTTCGTTTTCCTGTCGTTCCTGCTGCTCCAGGTCGAACTGTTCATAGATATTGCCATGCGGGACTTTATCCGCTAGCTTGTGTTGCTCGAGGGCGGCAGCAAGAACTTTGGGATCTTCCTCACTTCCGGCGTTTGCAACATCTTCGCTCTTGACGCGGCGGATGACGGTGTCGTCGAGACGGATCCACTCACGACCATCTTGACGGCGGACATCCACCGTGTAGTGGCCACCGCTAGCGTTCTTGCCATGGTGGTATATTACTCCAGTAAGGCGGTATTTAGGAGCCCCGCTGCCTTGGGCGGAGAGTATGTTGCGTCGATGAGGTGGGAAGACCTCCTTGGGAAGTTCAAGTTCTAGAGGATATCCAATCTTTTTCCAGATTTTCTGGGTTCCCTTGGTAACGTTGTCGTACTGGAAGCGTTTTAGATGAAGAATGAGGACCGGGGGGAAGCTCTCAATGAAGACCTGTTTGGTAGCGGTAACCTTGGGGCCGCGCGATGAGTTGAAATCGCCTTGCATGGTCTCCGGCTTGGTAAGGCCCTTGAGGGCATCGATGATATTATTGACTTGAGGGGAACCAATGTCGAGTTGAAGGGATTGGTAGGGTTCGAGAGTGACGGAGTTCTTGTTTCCGGGTACCCTAAACTCAGATCTGAGCTTCCCACCAAAGATTTTCGTGATTGGTGATTCGGCGGCAATGTGGCCAGATGATCTTGTGACAGCGGGTTTCTGTTTGTGTCCGACTTCTAACCATCCCTCAACGGAAGGCTCTGAACCAACGGATACGAGGTCTATTTCAACTGGGGTAGGGACATCCGATCCAGTTGGCGTTGCTTGCTTAAGTGCTAGGGTGCATTCCTCGTGGAGCTCCTCGAGAAGGAAACCAAGGAATTCTTGAGCATCTTGCTGGTGGCCACGCTGCTCGTTGTTAGCCGTAGAACTGACACGAGGGAAGGGCACTAAAAACTTACCCGCATGTCCCGAAAACGGGGAAGGTGTCTAATAACTTGATAAACATATTCCGGAATGAAAGAATCGCCGTATTGCTCCAATTCATTTTGCTTCAGTCGCAGCCTCAATTGCTCGACAGACGTTGCTGCATCAATTACCCGATATTCCCTCATAAACATGATCCTGATATGGTTGTTAGTAATAAAGACCAAGGTGGAACAGATAATACTACTCACATGGCATCGATTAGTGGAAGATCGCTTTTGAAACTATGAACAGCGCGCCGACCGATTTTGTCAAGAAATTCATAGAAAGGAACGCAAAAAACAAGAATTTGCAGAATCTAGGGGTATGTTAGTTCAGCGTCAAGAACGACCATGGGGCTTGGGAAAGCGTACCGAATTCATATAGCACATATTACCTGTATTTACAAGCCCACGGGGCTCAACGAATGCAATTTTATGTCCGGATTGTTCGGCATCATAGCCTAGGTTATTAATAACATCGAAGAGCGATTCGCCTTTCGATACACCAAGGCCACTGATTCCGGTAGAGGTGGGGGCGGCGTCACCGCCAGAAGCTGAGGTTTTGGTCCGTACAAGGTCGGCCCATGATTTGGGTTGAGGCTTGGGAGGAGGTGCAGCTGTGGGGGACACTTCTGCTATGGGCAATGAGTCCGTTTGCTGTGTGGAAGTAATGTCTACCTGAGATTTGTTCTCAGATGTAGTTGGAGTTGCCTCGTCAGGCTTTGGGGTCACTGGGGTGCGCTGTTTCGTAGCGCTAGTAGGTGTTTGCTTTGTTGTGCTGGGGCTTGCTGGGTATATGGGCACGACGGGCACGACAGGGGCCGCGTGGCGTGTGCTACCCGGCTGTGTGGGAGTTTGCTGTGTTCGAGCTGATGTCTGAGAAGGGATAACAGATGATGGAGTTGTAGGTTGGGTGGAGACGGATTCCGAGGGTGGCTGGGGCGTCGCAGGGGTTTGTGGTTCCGATTCAGCAGGTTTTGATGGCTCCGTAGCCGGTGCGATCTCTTGTTCTTCACCCTGAGGCTGGTCCTTTGACGAGGGAAATTGGACTGGTACTGTAGAATCTTGCAAAGATCCGACTTTCCGTCGTCGTCGGGGGATCTTAGCAGGAAACGGGGCTTCAGGGACGGAGAGCCAAGGAAGCTGAAGGGAAGCACTGTTAGAATTGACATGATTCTGATCTTTATTGCCAAATGGGGTTCTTACGGGGGGTTGGAAAAGCTGTCTTGACAATGGGGTTGCAGCCTTTGTCCGTTCCGGGACGCTGGATGGGATGCTGGAAGGGGTACGGGGTGCAGGGCTGCTGCTGGTGCTGGTATCAAAAGCGGGATCTCTTGGCATCCCTGGCTGGGTGCTAATAGGTGGGTTCGCGGGTATTCCATGGCTATCCGTCAAGGCGGAAGAAGGGCCCGACGAAGGCGGTGGCGTGGGGGAAAACGACGACTGCAGCGGTGTTGAAGAAGTAGTGTTGGGCTGTGCGGGAATGTGAGGTGGCATAGGCGGTGGTGGGCCAGAGAGAGCTGGCGGAGGGGGCTGCGAACGAGGAGGATATGACGAAACAATCAACGGACTATATGGCTGATACTGTTGCGGCGGAGGAGGCGGGTGATGGGGCTGATGCGGGTAGTTATACCACTGCTGCTGGTAGTGCTGCGCTGGGTAGGGCGGCAGTGGCCCGTTCGCGTGGGTATGGGGAGGGTGATACGGCATGAAGCCGGGGGCGCCCCGGATACCGGGAGGCCCCGACACGTAGGGAACCTCATGCTGCCTGCGCGGAGGCGGTATGGGAGGCTGGCCGTGGGGCATCGGGGGTAGATGATGGTTCATCATGCCCCAGACGGTGGTAGTTGGACTCTGGATGCGGCGTCACTGCCTTGACTGTACAGTCAAACCTGACCTAGTTGGGCGCCATATGCGAGGGCGAGGAACAGGAGCTACGGCAAACGGATGACTTTGCAACAGATCACAAAGCCATTGCCACAGGGCAAGCGTCGGAGAGTGGAAGTGGGAGGAGGCAGACGGGGTCTGGGGGGGTATGGTGATGGAGGAGGTTGCAGGCTGAAGAAGGCCATGGTTAGTGGAAGAAGATCTTTGTGCTCCACAGCAAGGGGAATTTTTCAGCACCCACCAGGTTCGCAGACTAGGCGCGGGGACAGACGCCACAGCAGAGGGGATAGTCAGAGGCCAGAGAGGCGAGCAGCAGCGGGAACAGGGCCCAGCAGACGACGAGGCGTGTTGGATAGCTGGTGTCGGGGGGTGAGTCTGGGGATGGGAGGGATTGTTATTATTTTTTTCGCAGTTGAGGTTTGGCGGCTTTGGAGGCTGACTCAGCAACATCGGGCGCTGGGCTGTGGGTGGCAGCGTACGGTACAGTACGGGTACTGGTATTACAGCTGCATCTGACGTCGACGGCAGCTGTCCGGGCGCAAATACCGCGTATATGTATTTATCGATACCGTTCCGTACCATACCATACGGCCGATGATTTCATGGCACCTCGCCCCTCCGGCAGCATCATCCTGTCTCTCTCCTCGCTCCTCTCCCCCTTCTCTTGTCCTCTCCCCTTCTCCTTCTCCTCCCTTCCCTCTCTCCATCGACGGCCGCTGTGTCTCATTCTCCAATG